CAGAACAGAGGCCTCAGAAATAACACCACACATCTATAACCATCTGATCTTTGACAAACCTGACAAAAACAAGCAGTTGGAAAGGATCTCCTATTAAACAAATGGTGTTGGGAAAACTGGCTAGCCATATGCAGAAAACTGAAACTGGACCGTTTCCTTATATCTTATGCAAAAATTAACTCAAGATGGATTGAAGACTTAAATGTAAAACCCAAAACCACAAAAACCCTAGAAGAAAACCTATGCAATACCATTCAGGACATAGGCATGGGCAAAGACTTCATGACCAAAACACTAAAAGCAATTGCAACAAAAGCTAAAATTGACAAATGGAATCTAATTAAACTGATGAGCTTCTGCACAGCAAAAGAAACTATCATCAGAGTGAACAGGCATCCTAGAGAATACGAGAACATTTTTCCAATCTACCTATCTGACAAATGTCTAATATCCAGAATTTATAAGAAACTTAAATTTATAAGAAAAAAACCCAAAAGACCCCATCAAAAAGCGGGCAAAGGATATGAACGATCACTTCTCAAAAGAAGACATTTATGTGACCAAAAAAAAAAATATGAAAAAAAAAAAGCTCAACGCCACTGCTCAGTAGAGAAATGCAAATCAAAACCACAAGGAGATACCATCTCACCCAAGTCCGAATGGTGATTATTAAAAAGTCAAGAAACAATAGATGTTGGTGAGGCTGTGGAGAAATAGGAATGCTTTTACGCTGTTGGTGGGAATGTAAGTTAGTTCAACCACTGGGGAAGACAGTGTGGCGATTCCTCAAGGATCTAGAATCAGAAATACCATTTGACCCAGCAATCCCATTACTGGGTATATATCTGAAAGAATATAAATCATTCTACTATAAAGACACATATACATGTATGTTTATTGAAGCACTATTTATAATAGCAAAGACATGGAACCAACCCAAATACCCATAAATGATAGACTGGATAAAGAAAATGTGGCACATATACACCATGGAATACTATGCAGGCATAAAAAGAAATGAGATCATGTCCTTTTCAGGGTCATGGATGAAGCTGGAAGTCATCATCCTCAACAAACCAACACAGGAACAGAAAACCAAACACTGCATGTTCTCACTCCTAAGTGGGAGTTGAACAATGAGAGCACATGAACACAGGGAGGGGAACAACATATACCAGGGCCTGTTGGGGGATTGGGGGCAAAGGGAGGAAACTTAGAGGATGGGTCAATAGGTGCCGCAAACCGCCCTGGCACATGTATACCTATATAACAAACCTGCATGTTCTGCACATGTATCCTGGAAATTAAAGTAAAAATTTTTAAAAAGATAATTGCAATTGACATATTAAAATATATTATTTCTATATATTGAATACCTATATTTCACATCTATTTTGTATTTTAATATGTATTGAATAGTACTCATGGAAATTGAAAACAAAAACAATTTTGTCCATGCTTTTCAAGAAATGATTCTGGGTTATTTTCGGATACAGAAATCTTCAACTCCACAATTATATCCAAAAGTCAGTTCAAGATTTATTTTGGATCTAACTATGCCAGATAGAACAATAAACTTTTAGAATAAAGGAGAATATTTTTATGACTTTGGGGGGTAGGTAAAGATTATATAACCGAGATAAACGTGCTATCATGGAGCTTTAATGGACTCCTTTAAAACAAAGAGCTCTTCATCAATAGGCACCGTTAAGAGTGTGAAAAGAGAAGCCACAGAGTGGAAAATGCTTCTCACAATACACATATCCAACAAATACCTTGTATCTAAAAAAAAAAAAAAAAAAAAAAAAAAAAAAAAAAATGGCCAAAAAATGTAAAAAAGCAATTTTGAAAAAAACAAAAAAAAAAAAAAAAAAAAAAAAAAAAAAAAAAATGCACAGCCTCTTCACTTTCCAGTAAAATGCAACTGACAATCCAATGAGAGACTAATACATTTTCACCAGAATGACTAAAAAGAAAATTCTCAATACCTACCATCACTGAGGACATCGGGGAGCTGAAAATCTATTCATTGCTAATTTTTGGATAAATAGATACAAAACTCTGAAAAATAATATACTAAAATCTCCTAAAACTGAACACACCCTTAGACTTTACAGTTACCCCTCTCTACTGTCCCAACACCGATATATACTTAGGTTCATAAATACACATGACTTGGAATGTTCATAGCATCCCTATTCATAACAGCGGCAGACCTGAAACTCTTCAGGTGCCCATCGATATTATAGAATAAAGTGTGTGGTACAGTCTTTCTCTCTGTCTTGCTTTCTGAAGTTTCAGTTACCTATGGTCAACCTTGGTCTGAAAATAGGTGAGTATAATCACAATAAGACATTTTGGGAAAAAGAGAAACTACATTCACATAACTTTGATGACAGTATACTAGTAACTTGTTCTATTTTATTATTGGCTATTGTTGCTAACATCTTATTGTGCCTAATTTCTAAATTAATATTGTCTTTGGTATATATGTATAGAAAAAATAATATACATAGGGTTTGGTATTACTGTGGTTTCAGGGATCCCTTGGGGGCCTTGGGATGCATTCCCTCATGGAAAAGGGAGGACTACCGTATATTTACATGGTGGAATATTACAGCACGTTGAGAATGAGCAAATGATAACGACATGAAAGAATGTGGACTAATCTCACATAGAGGGAAAGAAACCAGACAAAAGAGTGCCTACTACTTGCCAGATAATGTGATAAGTAAATTACACACATTACCTAATTCATTCCTTACCACAACACCCTCAGTTACTATATTTGTTTCATTTTACAGATGAGAACATTGAGGCCCAGAGAGGTTAGGCCTCTTGTCTATGTCCATAGCTAATAAGCTTGTATAGCTGGGAGACTTGGAGTTACATCAGTGTCCTGCCCCTTCCCACTGAGGTCCTCATCCCAGGGCTGGGAGGCATTTCCAAACTCTCAGGGGTCCCTACTTCTTTGTCTAAAGTGTGAAGAGAGACTTTACTGTCCCAGGGTTCAGAGGATAAATGGGATTATCTACGTGAAAGGGCACATTTGTTTTTGGCTAAAGAACAGTGTTGTTTCCAACAGCCAGGAAAGAAAATTCTGTTCCCCTGGTGTCATTCTTTCTCTGGTTTCTCTTTGCTTTCTAATATTCTGGAGAGAAATCCAGACTTGGACATGGAGTGATTTGATGTCTGATCTTTTCATTCGGGATGGGTGGGTGCAGTTGTGATGCACAATTTTTCATCAGTGAGCTGTGGGTACTGAAGACTTGTGTGGTTCCAGAGGAGCGTCTCGAGGGTGGTGGCACATCTCCCTCATTCATTGATTATTCTTGGCTTATGGCCTCCAGACCTCGAATCCAGCACTGTTCAACAGACACATAACATGACCCACAAATGGAAAGCACGTATGTAATTCTAAAATTTTAATAACCCATATTAAAAAACAGACAACACCAATTTTAATAATGTATTTTATTTTACCTGGTCCACTCAAAATGTTATTTTGATATGGAATCAATATATAAACAGATTAGCAAGGAGATGTTTTATATTCTCTTTTTCTTAATCTTTAAAGAATATTTTACAGTATATAGCACATCTCAATTGAGACTTTCAAGTGGTCAATTATCGCATGGCGGTAGTGGCTACTGAACAGGGAAGCTCTAGTGTAATCAATTTCATACAATTCCCTAGATAAGGTCCTTTAACCTACACCTAGTGGTAACATTTATGGAATATCTGGTGCATGCCAGGTAGGATGCCCAGCATTTTACACGTCTTCTCTCATCATAACTCTAAGAAGTAAGTATTATTGCCTTCTTTATTTTACCTACGAGGAAACTGAGACACAGACAGGCCAAGACAAGTGCAAGGTCACAGAGCTCGTAAATGACAGAGTCAGAATTTGCACCCAGGCCATCTGGCATTCCAGCTCAAGCATATAACCGTAAGGCTTGCCAAGTACATTTTCACTGTAATATTAAAGTTGGTGCAAAAGTATTTGCAGGTTTTTGCCATTACTGGCAAAGCCTGCTGGCAAAAACCTGCAAACAATTTTGCACCAGCCTAATAGAACAACATATAGGACTTCTTTATAAGACATATAAATATTATTCAGAAGTTTTGATTATTTCAAGAATCCAGTTCCTAGTTTATTGAATAGCATTTTGGCAACAAGGCATCTTTCTCCTGAGACTACTTATCCCAGTCACTAGAAGGAGAATATATTTTAAAGCATACTGCAGGACACAATCAAGGCAAAAATCTCAGGTTCAGGCCCCTAGGGTCACCTGGCACATTCTAATGAAATACTAAATGCAGCAAGGTGCAGGTATACCCTGATTGATACAACAGACCTGGTACTGAAATTAGGGTGGCGAGTCCTCCAGTTTTCCCAGAATGGAGTTTTCCCTGGCATGGGACTTTCAGTGCTAAAGGTCCCAGACAAACCAGAACAAGTTGGCTTCCCTACCTGAAACAGTGCAGGTGGGTGAGGGCCTTGCAAAAGACATTGCAACTGTTCACCAGCTCACCAGAGCACAACGCAGGGGAACTGATTCTTTTCCATTCTGGATTGTTTTCTTCTTGGCAGGACCCTGAACACGTCATCTTTCAGTTGAAATATTGGCCTTTGTCCATGTGACTGCCTGTTAGTATCAGGTCGGTACCATCCAGTGGACTCCTAGTCTGTCTCATCTCACTGACTGTAGCCCCTCTGACCTCTTCTCTCTTACTGCAGCAAGGGAATCTTTAAAAATGCAAACATATCAGGCGCAGTGTAATACCAGTACTTTGTAAGGCTGAGGCAGGTGGATCATGAGGTCAGGAGTTTGAGACCAGCCTGACCAACATGGTGAAATCCTGTCTCTACTAAAAGTATAAAAAATTAGCCAGGTGTGGTGGCACACATCTGTAGTCCCAGCTACTCAGGAGGCTGAGGCAGGAGAAAGGCTCGAATCTGGGAGGCAGAGGTTGCAGTGAGCTGAGATCACACCATTGCACTCCAGCCTGGGCAACAGAGCAAGACTCCATCTCTAAATAAAATAAATAAATAAGCAAACACATCTGATCAATGGACCCCCTCAAGTGCCTGGGGCTGAAAATCTTTCAATAGTTCCTCAGGGTTCCTGAGATAAACAGCAAGCCCCAGCCGGGCACAGTGGATCATGCCTGTGATCCCAGCACTTTGGGAGGCTGAGGCACGCGGATCACGAGGTCAAGAGATTGAGACCATCCTGGCTATGGTGAAACCCCATCTCTACTAAAAATACAAAAATTAGCCATGCGTGGTGGCACGCACTTGTGGTCCCAGCTACTCCTCAGGAGGCTGAGGCAGAATTGCTTGAACCCAGGAGGTGGAGGTTGCAGTGAGCCTAGGTTGCGCCACTGCGCTCCAGCCTGGTGACAGAGCAAGACTCCGTCTCAAAACAAAAACAAAAACAAAAACAAACAACAACAACAAAAAGGGCAAGCCCCTGAACGAGCCCACAGGACAAGGCCTAGCTCCTGTCTTGCTTCTGGAACTTTGTCTTATGCTATGTCCCCTCTGCTTGCTCTGCTCCAGCCCCACTGGCTCTTGCTCTGGCCTCAGACGCGTTCTTCTCCCTTCATCCACAGAACCTTTGCTCGTGCTCTTCCTAATGCCTGGAATATTCTTGTTTCTGTCCTGATGCCTGTTTATCCTTCAGATCTCTGCTCACAAGTGGCTTCCTTGGGGAAGGCTTCCCTGACTTTCCAGTCCACATAACAGCCACCTCACAGCATGCTCCTCACCTCCCCTTCATAGTTCACAAGTTCACGTTTGTGTGTGTGTGTATTTGATTCATTCTCATCTCTGCCATTAGAGTGTAAACTCCTTGAGGGAGTGGCTGTGCCTCTTTTGCTTAACCTTGTATCTCCAGCACCTAGCACCAGGCTTTGCACAAAGTAGATGTTCAATAAGCATTTGTTATTGGAATAAATGATTCATAGTATGTGTTCAATGTACATTTGGATTCTTTTTGGAGTGGGGCAAAAACGTTGCTAATAATAGAAAGTTACCAACCTAATTTTGTTGGATTAGTAGTGAATTTCCTCCAAGCTCAGCACTGTATCTTGATCATCAGGAGAAATGTTTTCCTGATTTTGAGGGCTTAGAGGGTGGGCGGAAAAGACATTAGAATAGCAATTAAAAATATTCTTATTATTACTTGAGACAAGGTCTTGCTGTGTTGTTCAGGCTGGAGTGCAGTGGACGGTCACAGCTCTCTGCCACCTCAACCTTCTGGGCTGAAGTGATTCTCCTTCCTCAGCTTCCTGAAGAGCTGGGACTACAGGCACCTGCCACCGTGCCAGCTTGATTTTTTAAATTTTGAGTAGACAAGGTCTTGCTGTGTTGCTCAGGCAGGTCTTAAACCGTTGAGCTCAAGTAACCCTCCCACCTCAGCCCTCCAAAGTGCTGGGATTACAGACGTGAGCCACCACGGCTGGTTCTTTTAAAAAATTATTAAGGGCAAGAAACAACCACAACAAACACATCCGCCGTCTCCATTATTTAACAAAAGAAATACCATTTTAATACCTAAAGAGTAGGAAGGATGTAACTTCAGAAAAAAACAAAAACAAAACTTACCCTGGGCAGGCGGAGATGGTTGGTATCTTTGCATTTTTGCAGTGACGACTTCTGACACTAGTTTATGGATTCGAATCTTGTCTCCCTGACTTCCTAGCTGTGTGACGTTGGATAATCAACCTCCCCTCTCAGCACCTCTCTGCGTCCTTCTTGGGGTTCTCGTTAGAATGAAATGATTGGACGTTCGTGGAGCACTTCGTGTCTGACTCCGTAAATCCCAGCGTTAATGCGCACAGCAGTAGCGCCATCGTTACTGACCAGAGACAACAGCGCCCCTTAGTGGTCCTTTGCCCCAGCTACAGGCAAGCTGAGCGCGCGCAGCAATAACGAGGCCTCTACAGGCGGTGAATGGGAAACGTTGTATCATGGCCAAAGCTGAGACCAGAGCAGAGAGAAAAACCATAAATATTCATGGAAACATTCAGGGTTCAGGCACGTCCGTCTCCCTGAGAATAAAGTTCTTTTCTGGGAAGCTACTGTCCAAGCTGTCAGCCCCCTAAGAGGGAGAAAAAACAAAACCTCTCTTCCTGGGCCCCCCACCAGCTGCGGAGCTGCTTTGCTGGGGTGGGGGAGCGCTGTCTGTTCACAGTGGCTGGCCGGGCGGCGGGCTTTGGCGCCGTCCCCCTGGGGGTGGGTGCTGAGAAGGGGGTGGCTGTCAGCCAGAGCCCTCCCTGCCTCTTGCTTTCCTTCGAGGTCTGCAGAATAAAAAAGGGATGTGGGAGTGTTTTTGTGCTGGTCACAAAACAGCAACAAATATAAGCTCTGTGCAATCCCTGATAAGGGTTTTGCACGGATGGAGCCATTAACCATTGGAAATAACACTTTGTCCTCAGAAAAGCAGTAGTAGGAGAGTCGATGAGACCTGAAAGTAGACGTGAGCTCTCTTTTTACCTTCCTTCCCCAGTGTGAGAGATGAACAGGGAGGTTTCCTTCCTGTCTCTGCTTGCAGGCTTTTCCGCCTGTGATTGGGAAGGAACCTCAGTGAAGAGCAGAGAAGATTGGCTCTGGAGGTAGCTGGCTGGCATTCAGACCCCGGTTCTGAAGTGGCAGCACTGTGCTGTGTGACCTTAAGCAAGTCACTGTCTCCTTGACCCTATTTTTGTATCTGCTGGGGATGATCATCCCTCAGTTTGATTTGATGAGGTTTGATGTTGAGTGACCTAATCTATTCTACCGCCTTGGATGCCTGTAGGGGCCAGGCAGATGTCATGAATGAGAGAAGTGGGTCAGAGGCAGGGCAGTAGGGAGTGGTGGGGACTGCAGTAAACCAGGCAGCACAAGCCCCATGTAACGGGTGCAGCTGGGCAGCATCATCTGACCCAGGCATTCTGGCATTTGATCCAGGGCATTACAGATAGCCTCAGAATCTTAGGGTCTGTTTCTATGTTGAAGAGTCTCTTGGTGGGCGTTGGTATTGTTGGGCTCAGCTGAACTAAGAGACTAGATTTGGTTAGTAGTGAGTATGGCAGAAAGAAATGTGAGCTCAGCGCTGCCAGGTGTTTTAAATGATCAAGAGAAGCAGGAAATCAGCTCCATTTTAAAATGCTGCCACTTCAACATTTCTTTAAAGAGACAGGGTCTTGCTCTGTCACCTAGGCTGGAGTTCAGTGGTGTGATCATAGCTCACTGCAGCCTGGAACTCCTGGGCTGAAGTGATCCTCTTGCCTCAGCCTCCTGAGTAGCTGGTACTATAGGCATGCACCACCATGCCTGGCTAATTTTTAAATTTTTTTTTTTTGTAGAGGTGAGGGTCTTGCTATGTTGCCCAGACTGGCCTTGCATGCCTGGTCTCAATCAATCTTCCTGCCTTGGCTTCCCAAAGTGCTGGGATTACAGGATAAGCCACCACATCCAGCTCAACATTTAAACATTAATACACAACATTCCAGACAAAAAACCTGTGCTAGCTATGTAACCTTGGGCAAGTCCCTTAACATCTCTGAATTTCTATTTCTTCATGAGTAATGGAGACAAGAATGCATCTAGCTCTTGATCTTAGCAATTAACATTTAACTTTTACCTTTATGTGATAAAGTAGTGTTACTATTACCTCTCATTTCACAGATGAGAAAACAGAGGCACAGGAAGGCTAAGTAACTTGCCCAGGACCCTAGAGCTAGTGACAGGGCTGACGTGAGGCTTTGGAAGGAGATAATGCACGCAAAGTGCTCAGTGCCTATTAGTGACTGCTATGTGGTCATCAGGTCATTATTACTGTTATTAATAACTGAAATGCTTCAAGGCCAGTTCTCACACTTAATTCAATGGTTGAAAGAAACTGCAGGACTTTGATATGTCAGACAAAGATGATAGCTTTAAATTACATGGTATGTACTTTTGTAGGTGGCTCTTGGCCATTTTAATAGCTCCTTTCCACAGAGGCATTGGACAGCCTTGCCAATGGGTTTCCTGGGACAATAATCAGATTTAGGCCCCTGGTCCAGTCAATAGATTCTCATCTCGGGATGACCAAGCTGATCATGACCAGTAATTTACAGCTTGAGTTGTTCTGAAATCAATATGAATTTGCTTTTCATTGAGAGGGCTGTAAAACATGGGTGACAGGCAGCCCCCAAAAGCAGTTGACATGGGAGTGGAGAGCTCGAAGAGCCTGGAGGGAGGCCAGACAATTTAGAGGGAGATAAAGCAAAGGGTGGAGGAGGCTGACCTCTGTCCAGTGGGCTGTGGTCACAGCTGGCCAGAGTTCCCACTGGGACCTGCTCAGGACAGTCTTGGTGAGAGAGTGGATTTGATTGACAGTGAGGTGTGGTAGAAAGGGAGTAACTTTTAGAGTCAGGCAGAGCTGGATTTGTATTTTGGCTGTGCGATTTTCTATGCCGGGGTGTTGGGCTCAATTCTTCAAGGCTTGATTTTTCTAATTAGCAAGGTAAGCAAATAACTGAACCTGTTGCACAGATGAAGGTGAAATAAAGCTGTGTTTGCAAAGTGCTTATTCTACTGCATGTGAGGCTGTCACTGTCAAATGTACTTGTTAAAAGGAAAGGACTGCAGAGTCGGGTAGACCTGGGGGAAAATTCTGTTGCTTTTACCTACTAGCTGAATAAACTTGGGTAAGTCATTCCACCATTTTGAGCTTCAGTTTCCTTATATTGGAATAGCAATAGGAACGTCTGTCCAGGATGGTTGTTATAATTAAATTAGATTAGATGATGCACATAAAGTTATATTAGCAAACTGCATGGAATATAGTGTGAACTCAACAAGAAGAGGGCATCATTTTTGTCAATTTGATTCTCATCCATCCCAAACAGGGCACAGAGGAAGCTCTTTGTTAAAATCAGCTCAATTGCATGATAAATTAATGAGTTTTTAACATCCTTAAATTGCGTAATTTGAGGAGAGTTTAATAAATTAATGACACCAAAACATATTTAAATAATAAAACAGCCATTAAAATTACACATACATAGTCTACTTACACATATGTGGATGGGGCTCTGGAAAACCAAGATACATGCTGACTGCCAGGGATATACCAGTGGGCAGCCATTGCCACTGTGGAGTCAATAAGAGCATTGTTCCAGCACTTTCTTTCTGAACCACTGCAGTGCCTCCCGGTAGAATAGGAAGAATGAACATGCCCACCCCATTTGTTGTGGGCTTGACCATATGACTTGCCTGAGTCAGTAGAATATAAAGTAGGAAGTGATTGGAGCAGAGGCTAGAAATATGCTTGCACGGCTTGGCTTGCCCTCTTGTGCTTCTGTCCTTTGCCATGAGAAGACTGTGCTCCTGGTATCTGATGGTCTCAGAATGAGGAGACCCATGGAGCAGATCTGAAGTCAGCTGGTAGCTTGACGAAGATCAGCTGAACCCAATAGCACCAAAGACCTACCAATCCTTGAGCAAATAAATAAATGCTGGCTCCTGTAGCCACTGAAATTTTGAGGTTGTAATGTCATTAAAAATAATACCTGCCCCAGATTAGAATGGGTTCAGGAAGGCGAAGTTACTGGATTGGGTTGCCTGAGAGGAGCTATGGCTTTCAAGGGGGGAAGTCAACAGCTCACCCACACTCCCTTCCCTCCCTTCTATTTCCTCCTGGTGCTTCCCATTGGCTGAACTCAACTAGAAGTGGAGAGGAAGGGAGTCAATGATAGAACCACTGAAGACCAGTCCCCTGGGGCACAGCATGTGGTAGAGAAGGATGGAGAGTGGATGTGGAAGGGCAAATGTTAATTACCCTGTATTAGTCTGTTCTTGCATTGCTGTAAAGAAATACCTGATTCTAGGTAATTTATAAAGCAATTTATTATCATTTAATTGGCTTATGATTCCATAGGCTGTACAGGAATCATGGTGGCATCTGCTTCTGGGGAGATCCTGGGGAAACAATCATGGAGGAAGGTGAAGGGGAAGCAGGCACGTCTTACGTTGCCAGAGCAGGAGCAAGAGGGAGAGGGGGCCAGTGCCACGCTTTTACACAACCAGATCTCGCGAGAACTCTGTCACTATCACGAGAACAGCACTGAGCAGATGGTGCTGACTCATTCATGAGAACTCTGCCCCATGATCCAGCCACCTCCCACTTGTTCCTACCTCCAACTCTGGGGATTACAATTTGACATGAGATTTAGGTGGGGACACAGATCCAAACCGTATCCTATCCAGTGCAATTAAGGGGGAAGGAGGGTATGTGGGACTCTCATATAAACAAATTACTGTGCTAAGACCTTTGCCCAGGGGCTCCAGCTACGGCCCTTTGAGTATCTTCTTCCCAATTTTTTCCTTGGCCTCCTGGATTTCCCTTGTTCTGTTTGCTCACTAGGAACATTCTTTGGGATATGAAGTTAGCCAAGAGGGCTTCCTTAAACAACCCAATTGTTTAGTAAATTTTGCCCTTCTTAATCCATCAGCCACACAGGAAGTGTTTCCAAAATTGTCATGGCTGAGAGAGAGATTTGGGGAATATTTTCTTATGTCTGTTCCCATTACTTTTTCCTCCTGTTGACTCCCAACATCTTTAGCAAAACCGTATGCTCTAGGGTATCATTCACAGGAGTCCCAGCTCCATCCTGTGCACTCCAATTTTTTTGCTAGTCAAAAATGATTTGACTTTGACAGGAGCAGTTTAGCACAAAAGTGCGGATAAAGAGTTTTGAAATCAGATGTAAGTTATAAAGGCCAACTTATCTTTGTAGCAGCTGGGTGACCTTGAAAAGAGGACCTAATCTAATTCCTGAGCCGGGAGAGATCATTTCAGCACCAGATCCTAGAGCCACTTATGAGAATTAAATGGGATATCCATGAACGCCCTTAGCACAGTACTTTGTTAATGCTTA